AAAAGAAAAGGATTAGAGATGATACCTTGCATTTTCAGTTTTTCTGCCACATGTAAAGAGTTATGAATGCACCTCCAAATAAAAACTTTTGAGTTTTTGTTTCACTTTCATCTTCCAAGAGGATGACCACGTCTTTTTCCTAAAATTTGACCCATTGCTTGTCTCCAAAATTGTTTTTTCTTTCCTCTTTTTTTTTTCAAAATTTCATTATAGCAAGATTTGACATAAAAGCAACCATTTTTCTCTCAGCCCAGGTGAATCTATCTCTGTTATTTGCTTCAATTAGTTTGATTTTAAGAATTTCAGTTGCTTCTTTTTCACTGAAGATTGCAAGATAAGGTTTGTGTTCCACTCTTCCCTATTTTCCTTCATTAGATCACTTACCCACATCACTTGTTCGACTCTGCCATTCTTTCCTCTGGGCTTGAAATTTTCAATGTTTCGGATCCAAGGATCCTCCAAAATCCTTATATTTTTGCCATCTCCCTCTTTCATTATTAGCCCCATGATAGTGCTTCCCTTGTCTTACTCCAGCTCTTCCACACCCAAGAGTCTTGGTTTTGGTTTTTGCATTAAGAATTCCACCTTTGGGAAAATATTTAGCTTTCAAAATTCGGCTCAGTAGAAGATTAGGGCGTGTGATTATTCTCCATAATTTCTTTGGACTTATTATAAAGACATTTCGAATTAAATAAAAGAGTAAAAGAAAAAAAAAGAAAAAAAAAGTAAAAGTAAAAGTAAAGTAAAGGTAAAAACAAAATAAAATAAAAGTAAAAAATATAGTAAATGAATTTCTCTAGTCTTATTATAAAGACATTTCAAAGACATTTATGAAAAAACACATGTGAATTTTAGAAGAAAAAGTAAAGTTGTTATTTGATAGTGTTAACTCATACGCTATATCCTAAACAAGCCTTGGTCATTCATTTTGATTGAGTATTATACTAGTAGGTAGGACAATTATGGAAGTAACATGTGATTTCTGAAAAGAGATAAGATAAAAAAAAATACTAATTAGATTTTTATAGAATGACTTGAGTTGCAGAAAAACAAAAACTTGCACAAGAATAAATAAATGACATAAATTAAAATTACATGACGAAAAATTACAGTAAATTTCCAAATACAATTATTGTTAAACGATGTTTCCACTCTTTATCTTCCGGCTCCAAGTGGTCCTTTGCCAACAACGTATTCAACATCACAATATTCATTTTCTTAGTCTATAGTTCCTCATTTTTGCGTTCCAACTCCATCAATCGTTCGCTATTTTGGTCACTAAATCATATTCGTTATATCTTGTAAGTCTTAGTGCACAAATTTCTGCAGTGAACTCATCATGAATGGAAGAAAGTCGTTATGCTATGTTTTTTATCCTTTATTTTTAGACATATCTCTACCTTTGGGACGGGGAATCGCAGAACCATCACTAATTGGAGTTTCTAAATTTGAAGGAAATGAATAATCTCCATCTTCAGTAGTGCTTGATCGTTTTGAACTGCCACAACTTTCTCATTGCTCACTTCATCTTCAGAACATGAACAAGTTGAATAACGATCTAATTTTAGTTCCATTTGGGATACGCATTACTTCTTCAAATACATGCAAGTCTGTAAACTTGGTGTTCCTGCCACTGACTTCATAAATTATATGAGCTTCTTTCTCAACATCTTCCATGCTCATTCCACTTTTTTTTATCTTTGTATGCTTCGCTTGTTTACATTTTCATTATGGCGTTCATACCGCTCTTTCATTAAATCCAGGGACGGATCTTAATTGGGCTTGGGCTGGGCTGAAGCCCAGGCCTATTAATTTTTATTTAACACCTATCATGTTTTAATTTGTATTTTTATATTTTTTTCTAGCCCAACCCAATAACTACTTCATTGATCAATCAAAATAATTCACTTACCTATTTAAGTTTAAAGACTACAAACACCACTCTAATAAAATATTATATATTGTTGACGCATCATTCCCACTAGTTACAACCCACAAAACTCTACTATACACCAAACTCTAATAAAATAAATTGTCGGCGGCCATGCTCATTCTCTAAGCACCAGAACAATGAATTTAGAAGAACATAAAATAAATAAATAAACTATTCAACAAGAAATAGACTACTTTCAAAAGATTATTTATTTTCTTATTTAATAGTAAGTTATATTTTTTTAAATCCCATATTAGATATTCTTTTTATTTGTCAAATTGTCTTTTTTTATCTTTTCATTTTAGCTGAATTATTAAGGTTTTAGTATTAATTGCTAAGATCATTTGGTTGAAATTCTTGTTTTGTTGATTGTGTATGAAGTAGTAATTGTGCATCTATGTATTTTTTTAAATCTCTTATCCTCTAGTGTAGTTGTATATCATATTTAGATTTAATTTTGTGATGCGTAATCATTTCATTTTGCTAATAAATGCCCTATGGAAAATCAATTTATTGGTATTATTGAATTTTTAAAAATTCACATATAGCACCAACCTTCAACCAATAAAGAAAAATCAACTAAGATCAAACTAGTGAAAGCACATCAAATATGATACAATGTGAGCATAACGAATTTATTTTGTTAAAGCTTGTCGAATACAACTTCAATGAATATTTGAAGAAAAAATAATACGTGATTTTTTTGAAAATGCGTTTTTAAAATTATAGCCCAGTCTACCCTTACGTTCTGGATCTGTCCATGATTAAATCCATGTTTTTTTTTCACCATTTTCTTTTGGATTTTCCAATCGAGGTCGTTCAAACATTTCTGCTATGTGTTCCTATAACAAAGAATCCTTCTGATTCTTGTTACACATTTTTCTTCGCTAACTAAACACCAAGCTTACATTAGAACAACATCTTCTGCCACGCCACGCTCCAACTAACAATTTTCGTTCATTTTTAGGATTTTGTGTAACTGTTGTACATTTTGCAATAAATTTGGTGAGATGCTTTGTGAGTTTTAGGCATCTCCAAAAGTAGAAATTTGAGTAAGATTCGGAGAAAATGACTCATGTGAATAACTTTTTAAGTTCTGATGACTTTTAGAATTCAAAAATTTTGAGAATCGAGGTAATATTCAAAATTTGGATCCATATAGTATTCGTTGGAAATTAAGAAAAAATGAAAGAGATGATAAAGTTAATAAGGTAGGATTGTGTTCCAAAACCTTTCAAAGATTTTCTCTATAAATAGAAAATTAAAAAGTACGAATTTTTGTACTTTTTATTAATATAAACTAACACCAATTTACGTTATCTTACAAAATAATGTTGACCAATAGGAATGGGACAAGTGTCCCATTCCTCTCCTCTCCACTGGTTGCGATCCAATGTCACAATGTGACCAAGGTCGCGAGAAAAAAAAAACCATTTTTTTTTCTTTTATCCTTTCAAGATGATCCAATTGTAAATAAATTTCTCTAGAGTTATTATAAATACATTTCAAATTAATAAAAAAGTAAAAAAGAAAAGTAAATTTAAAAGTAAAGTAAAGTAAAGGTAAAAAGTAGAGGGAAAATAAAATGAAAGTAAAAGTATAGTAAATGAATTTCTCTAGACTTATTATAAAGACATTTCTGAAACAATGCATGTAAATCATAGAAGAAAAGTAAAGTTAATATTTGATAGTGATAATTCATACACTATATTCCAAACAAGTCTTGGTCGTTCATTTTGATTGACTATTATACTAGTAGGTAGGACAATTATGGAAGTAACATGTGACTTCTGAAAATTACAACAACAACAACAAAGCCTTTTAGTCCCAAACAAGTTGGGGTAAGCTACAGATGAAACCCAAGAGAAACAGTGGTAATAGAAA